TCATCTGATTCGACTTATCATCAAGCTTCCTTCTCAACTGATCTGGCACATGTCTATGTGCTATAGATCCAAATACCTTCAAGTGACTGAGACTAGGCTTGACACCAGACCAACATTCTTCTGGTGTGATTCCTTCAAACTTCTTCGTAGGACATTTGTTCAATATATATGTTGCTGTCGAAACTGCTTCTCCCCATAGTTCTTTAGGTAGATGCTTTCCATTCAACATACTTCTCACCATATTCATGATGGTTCTGTTCTTGCGTTCTGCAATCCCATTTTGCTATGGAGTGTAGGGTGGCACCACCTCATGTACAATCCCTTCTTTTACACATAGTGTATCAAACTCTTTCGACACATACTCTCCACCACCATCAGTCCTTAGAATTTTCAGCTTTCGACCACTCTGTCTTTCGACCATGGACTTGAATCTGGAAAATACCTCAATCACATCACTTTTCTTTTTGATGAGGTAAGTCCACAGCTTTCGAATGTAATCATCTATAAACGTGACAAAGTATTTATTGCCACCAATCGAATCCACCTGGATTGGACTACATATATCAGAGTATATGACTTCAAGTATTGCCTTCGACTTCCTTCCTGCATCCTTGCTGAAGCTATTCTTGTGTTGTTTCGACTGAACACACTCCTCACAGACTTTACTTGGAATGTCGATTTCTAGTAATCCTGAAACCATATTTCTTCTCTGATGTCATTAAAGTTGAGATGACCTAGTCGAAAATGCCATAACCACTCATCTCTACTGGCTGCAGTTGCTAGACATCTGTGCTCCATCACATTGAGTCCAATCTTGAAGGTCCTATTCTGAGACATTGGAGCCTTCAAGATTAATCTACCACCTGCGTCGAGAACTCTCATCATCTTGTCTTCGACAACTACCTTGTAGTTATTTTCGACAAGCTGCCCTATACTGAGCAAATTACTCTTCATGCCTGGTATGTACAGCACATTGGAAATTGTTGACCTTTTGCCATCTTTTCTCATAATCAGAACATCACCAACACCTTCGGCTGCTAGAGTGTTGTCATTTGAAAATTTCACTGTGTTCTTCGACGATGGCTTCATGTTGACAAACCAATCTTTCCTTCCAGTCATGTGTGATGAGCATCTTGAGTTCAAGTACCACTGATCTTGGAATCTTTCTTCATCTTTTGTTGTGACCATTAGCAACGTTTCTTCTTCTTCATGTTTCCCCAGCTTTGCATCAGTCTCTTGATTTCTCTTCCTTTCTGGACAATCACTAACATAATGACCATACTTCTGACAATTGAAACATTGAATGTGGCTTTTGTCTGTCTTTCGACCACCACCTCTTACTTTACCTGCAGCACCACCTCTTTGGTTGCCTTGGTTCCAAGGTTTCTTCTGATTCGACTGGTTTCCTCCTTTGTTGCCATTCCAGCTACCTTTGCCTTTTCTTTCCTTTTCTGACTGCGCCTGTAAAGCCATATCTTTCGACTTTCCTGCAGCTCTCTCAGCCATCCTCTGTTCATGAGTCTCAAGAGTCCCTTGAAGCTCTTACTTCGTCAACACTGATAGATTTTTTGACTCTTCTATGGCAACTACCACGTGGTCGAATTTTGGAGCCAACGATCTCAAGATTTTTGAGACAACTGCCTTCGTCGTCAACGCTTCTCCACATACTTTGATTTGATTCACCAACTTTGTAACTCTGGTGAAGAAATCTGTAATGCTTTCGTTGTCTTCCATCCGAAGCAACTCATAGGTTCTCTTGTGAGTTTGTAACCTCACCTCTTTCACCTTCTCTGCCCCTCCAAACGACTTTTCAAGAATCTCCCATGCTTCTTTTGCTGAATCAACATCACTAACCTTTTCAAAGTTATCAGGATCGACACACTGATGAATTATAAAGAGTGCTTTATAATCCTTCTTCTTCAATTCTTTATGCGCAGCCTTTTCTGCCTCCGTTGCGTTCTCCCTAAGCGATGTTACTCCGTCCTTCACAAGATCCCAAAGATCTTGGTAACAGAAAATCACCTTAATCTGCTTGCACCAATTCTCATGATTGTCTTTCTTGAGAATTGACAGGGTTGCCGGAAAGTTGCCGTTCGGATAGTTCATCGCCATCACTATCTTCCTTCCTTGAATCTCTTAACCAGAGCTCTAGATATCAGATGTTGGAAATTCACCTCACACCCTCTGAAGAATTCCCTTCAATCTTGATCTCAAGATTGATGAACAAACCCACAATATGATAGTAATGGTAATAACAAGTAATTATCAAGAACAACAAAAGAGAAGAAGAATAACAAACAAGAAAGAGAAGAATTAGAGAAGAAATATTTGGAGAAACTTGTTACCCACAACTGTGGGATTTCTTATTGCTTATAGAACTTTCACTTGCTAAACACTGCAACTGTGAAATCTGTTCTATGCTGTGTTGTCTAGAATACATAGCAAGGCACCCTATTTATAGTTTTAGGTTTACTAAAGCTCAAAACATAAAAGGTCCAAAATATTCAAATCAAATCTAATCGTATCAAATTAAATCTGTTTACACTATGAATTATATTTAACACTTCTCACTGCCGGTTTTCCGAAATCCCCTTTTGGAAGAGATGCAGTAGTTGTTTTCAGTAATGTGCCTTTGTCTATGTCTTTAAAAAGATTAAGTTGGTTTGAACTTAAATGTAACGAGTTTCCATTTCCTTGTACAAGAACATGTGCAGTAGTTAGTTAAACCAATTGTATCAGCTAGTTAGTTTTCGTGCCTACTGTCATGATAGCTTGTAAAAGTAGCTTGCATGGCAAGCTACAGTTTGTAAATGTTAGTTAATGCCAACTCAGATTTCGGTGCAGGTTAGCTTTAGTGTGTGGTCAGCCACATATAGCTGAACGACCTCCTTGTAAGTTTCAACTAACTCAAACCCCTTTCTCTTAAATCTAATACCTTGTTCTATTATTTCTTTCTAAATTGTTATAAGCTTTAGAAGCTGCAAGCATCTTGCAAGAGCATCAAAGTTCTAATACCTTGTCCTACTTTCTCAGTACAATTACAGCTCCTGGGTATAAAGATCCGTACAATTTTGGTAACTGAGGCTGAAGAAGAAAAACTGTTTCTATTTTCCCTTTCCTTTTTCATATCTGAAATCCTATTTCTTAGTATTGTTCTGTGGTTCAGTTGATTAAATTAATGCATCTCAGTCAAAAGTGCAAACATCACAGTTTTTTCTCCCCTCTTTTGAAGGTAGTGAGTAGTTAACGGTCTATTATTGCAATATAAATCATTTGAGGAGATTAATAATTTGAACTACAATATTAATGTTTGCTATGTCGGTCTTATTGTCTTGACTTATAGATGATTTGTAAGCCAAACTTATTTTGGTGATGTGAACATTGAAGTAGTGGTTCTAATGGACTTGTTGAGCGTCTCACATTATCAATATTTGTCCTTTGATGATCAGTTTTACTGGGGTAACACTCCAAAGTTACCAGAATATTTTTCCAACCAGTTTATGTTAATCTGAAAAGTTTATTAGGGTTTTAACTTTAAAACTTCTAATATGCTTGTGTGATTGTACAGTTATTGGAATTGAAAAGCATAGCAGAGTAGCTAGATCAAAAGGGTAAGAAAGCCATGGCTAATTATCAGAGTCACCATGTATGTGAACCAGTGTTATCTATGGCGGATCACAGAAAGCCATTTTTAGTCGCCATCCTTCACAATCTGCCATAACAGATGTCAAAAACTCCGCCACTGCAATCCGTCATGGCTGATATTTGACAACACTGAAGTGAGCCAAGTAATAAAAAGTCAGGCTCAATGCCATTAAGATTGACTATTTTCGTCTGAAAGCTTTGGCTATTGAATGAGTTGGGAAAAATGGAAACAACTGATGTGATTTGGTGTTATTTGTTAGTAATAATTCTATGAGTGTTACTATTTTTAAAGGTAACTATTAAGATATCGTGCTTCCGCACGAGTAAGATCATTTGATACGGTATAAAATATATTTAAATGTATATGTAAATTTGATACGATATAAAATTATTTGATACGGTATAAAATATATTTAAATGTATATGCAAATTTGATACGATATAAAATGTATTTATATATATGTATTTAAAGTTGAAATTAATATTAATTTAAAAATGAGCAATGATTATGTAAACTCAATTAAATTAAAATATAAAGAAAAAAATGGAATGGTGAGATGAATTTTTTTTTTTTAATATTTAAAAATAATAATTGTCTTTTAAATTAAGATAATTATTGATTAAAATAAAATATATATTGTGTTTATAATGATTTGTGAAATAAAAAGTTTATTTGATATAATATAAAATATATTTATATATAGATGTACAATTGAACTTTGTTATTTAATTGTAAATTAAAAAATAATTATACAATTTTAATTGTATTAAATATGATGAAAAAAGAAAAAAAAAGTTTGTGATCCTTCTAAATATTTCAATTTTCGATTTTATTTCTCAAAATATTTCCTTCAAATAATAGTTCTCCTATAATTTTTCATCCACACTTTTGGTTCTTCTTCCAAATTGGCGACACGAAGTTGAGATATTTAGGAGGATCACATTCCTATTTAATCTAAGAAAAAAAATATCGTGAGATAAAGAAAGATAAAAAAGAAAATTTTAATGCAATAATGATATATAAAATAAAAAAATCATTTGATGCGATATATTTAAATACAAATGTAAAATATAAAATAATTTATTTAATTATAAAATAAAATAAATATACAAATTTAATTGTATTAAATAATTATATAAGGATTGAACACCCGTTTAATAGACATTTCTCCACTCATTTAAGACTAATATTTGAACTTCATTCTCAATTTCTCATTATACCCCCAAATAAATAGAACTTATACCCCTCAATCTTTTTCTCGAGAAGAATCAAGCAGAAACCTTCAAACTCACATTCACACAGCTAACTACTCCTTTGGTTCCTCAATATCGCACTCTACCCTCAATCAACTTCAATGGTAACTGCCAACACTCTTCTATTCTATCACTCTCTTCTCTCATCTTTTACTTAATATCTTTCTTTCATTTTTATTTTCAGTCGGTTACTCTGCACACAAACCTAGGTGATATCAAGTGCGAAATCTTCTGCGACGAAGTCCCTAAAACCTCCGAGGTACTCTACTTTTTTCACTTCCCTTTTTTCTCATATTCGTTCATATTTCAACAATTCAATTCATTCAAAAATCAATTTCAATTCAATTATTACTATGATGATGAAGATTTCATTCACGATTTCGAAAATAGGTCTTTTAATTCACGAAGCCACTCCATCAAATATTGATTTGATAACTAACCATCTTTGCTTAAACTAAGATAATGATTATGAACTTAGACTCTATTGATTTTGAGTGAATTGATTGCGTAAAATTGATTATGTAAAGTTGATTCTGGTTAAATGTGCGTTGGCTTTAAAGTGATTTATGTTTGGATAACTTTATGGAAAATTGAGTTGAACGGTAAAACATTTAAACTCCAAAGTTAAAAATTCTAGTTTCAAGTAGAATCAATTTTAGAGGCAGAATCAATTCTATCTTAGAAGAAGCAAACACTTCAAAATCATTCCAAAATCAATTCTACAAATCTAGCATTGCTTTTGGTTCTTTCAAAAGCTAAACCTGACAGAACATCTCTGATGCAATTTTACCTCAAGTTAAAGAATGTCATTCTTTCCCTTTTTTGTTGTTTTCATGGGTTCTTCTATGTTGAAGGGTGTTGTAACTAACAATTCAATTTTCATGCGTAAATGCTTGTAATTCCAGAACTTTTTAGCGCTTTGTGCGAGTGGTTACTATGATGGGACTATATTTCACCGAAATATTAAAGGTTTTATGATTCAAGGTGGAGACCCAACTGGTACCGGTAAAGGAGGGACTAGTATATGGGGCAAGAAATTCAATGATGAGATAAGGGAATCTTTGAAGGTGAGTTCATCTGTGTGCTATTTACTATGAATTCTGAAACTATGGTTTTGGGTTGTATTTGTTAGGCTTGTTAGAGCAGGGAAAAATATACTGTATGGATTTTTTTATGTTTGGTGCATTTTAAAGACAAATGAACTATGGCGAGTTGCCAAAGAGAGTCTATAGCTGATCTATAGCATTGTGGTATTAGGAATTTAAACACATCACTATGTTCCACAATATGATACTTAGTACAAAGTGTTGTCAAATAGCTATTATAGTGGTACTATAATACTCTAGCAACTAGCTTAGTGGAATTCAAAAACACCACTCGTTTCCGTGATCTGTGATGGACAGTACTTGATCTGGGTTTAACAAAGTATATTTGCTTCTACTGAAAAAATGGATAGAATAAATTAAAACAGAATATAACTGTTTTATTCTCTTTTGGCCATCAGTCTGTTATACTTATTAATCAGTGTCAATATCAGAACTATGAAATCTGGGTCTATACCCATAGTTTCTATTGGATAGATGTCACTTTTGCTAGCATCTCATTAAGATAAACTACTGTTATCAAGAGAATCCAATTGAAAAACACCTCTGCATTCAAAATGACTTTTTAACTACTTCAAACTATTTCATAGTTGATAGTTTTTCCATAGCTAAAATTACAGAAGTACTCAGAATTCTCTTATTCGCATTAGTTAGCTCAATGTTATTTCTTACGCCTCTTAACTTTGAAAATTTATGAGATTTTATCATTTTTTTTTAAAATATCAATTTTGTCAAACCTAGTGGGCTGTCCCTACTCTATCATATAAAAAATGACTTTTAAGTTCCAACACTTAATTATCCGGTAAAAGGTCAAATTTTCTGTGATTGAAATATAGTTATCTCTAAGTAGTTATATTTATGTATCTTTTGTGATTATTTTTGGTTTATGGTGTGGACCAGCATAAGCTTAATGAGACGTTACTTGTGACGTGCTTTATCAAGCAATTACATACATTTTCTTAAACTGATTATTGTAGTAGTTAATAGGTTGCCTTTTTGTGTGTTTCAGCACAATGCAAGGGGAATGTTGTCAATGGCTAACAGTGGTCCAAATACTAACGGAAGTCAGTTCTTCATAAGTTATGCAAAGCAGCCCCATTTGAATGGACTATACACTGTGTTTGGAAGAGTAATTCATGGATTTGAAGTTCTTGATCTCATGGAAAAGGTATCTTAATCTTCTGCTGACATTGCATTTGTGCATTTTGTTGCTACCATATACACTTAAATGCCCCATCTAGAATTCACACGCAATATGCACACTTAACATATAAGAAAAGAATAAATAATTTGCTTTTTTATTGTGCAGACTCCAACCGGGGCACAAGATCGACCACTTGCAGAGATAAGGCTCAATCGTGTAACAATGCATTCTAATCCACTTGCTGGTTAGACTGGTTTCTACAGCTCTTCGTGTAGAACTGAAGTTTCGATTTCCTAAAACAATAGATCTAACTAAGTAGAGTCAAAGATGATTCTTACATGCCGAATTGAGTACATGGTCATATCTTCTTCTGATTTAAAGATTTGATCTGTTTAAATAGTAAAATGTACATCAAACATAATTGAGACGATTTTGTGTGATGGCAAAAGTTACTTGAGTTTCTCAGCTTTAAATACTCCTGTTGTCTTGGTTCTGTTGTTGCCATTCACTTTTTTAATGGATTTTTTGTCACCTTCAGAATAACTATTAAGCATTACGAATAAATTATCATAAATGTGACTTGAAATATCACAAACTCCAAAGGTAGTTTAAACTTAGTGACAAAAGAAAATGTTGGAAAATAGTCACTTTATTTTTGAGAAAGGTGCATACAAGGGAGCTTTTTCAGCCATATGTCTGCTATGAAATGAATGAAAAGTTTCCTTTCAAACACAACAATATAGTGTGTATCTAATGTTCATGTATATATAAGTACTTCACAATATAAAAGCCAATACACAAAAGTAACTTAAAATAAGGCATGAAGATGACGATCTAAACTAATAACGAGAGACTATGATAAAGTCATCATCCTCAAGAACTTGAACATCTTTTTCTCCAACAAAATTTTCTCTACCCAATTCCTTCACCAAATTCACAAACCCTACCCTTTGTTCCATATTCAGAGGTACATATGGCAACCTAAAAACAGGTTTGATAACCCCAAGTTGAGCAAGAGCAGTACTCAAAGCAATTGGACTTGGCTCTATAAAAAGCCAATCAAACAAAGTCACAAGCTTTGAATTCAATAAAGAATTCTTACCCTCAAACATGAGTTCCCTCATTAAACCAGGAACCAAATTACTTGCAACAGATTGAACTCCAACAGCACCACAATCCCATCTACCTTCATGGCTCATTCCATCAACCACCCACACAACAATCCCTTTATCAGTATACATTTTCACCCTCTCATTTCCCACACACTCTTTCACACCAACAAAATTAGGGTTTTCAGCCAATATTTCAACCACACTAGGTGGAATATCTTGACCACTCCTTGAAGGTACATTGTATACAATGACAGGTCCTATAGAAAGCAAACTATTATAATGAGCAACCAAACCTTTCACTGAGGTTTTTCCATAGTAAGGGTTTATATGAAGTGCCGCATCCATTCCAACCGCAAAACCTCGCTCGGTGGCCTCAATCGCTTCTTTCGTACAGTTGCTTCCCGCATTACCAATAACTTTAACTTTGTCGCCGAAACAGTTTACCGTATGAGCAATGAGCATTATCTGTTCATCCCATGTCATTAACTGGCCTTCACCAGTTGAGCCAGCAACAAGAATACCTTCAACGCCATTCGCAATTTGTATATTCACCAAGTTATCATATGCTTCCAGATCAATTTTTCCATGAGGTAGATACGGAGTCTTAACCGCTGTGATAAATCGCAAACTACGGACATCCTCAATCGATGTCCTGTCAACACAATACAGATAAAACATAAACATATAGTATACAAAATAATTGAATTATCGAATTTAGTTAGAGAATGGATTCGTTTATATGAAGTAAAACTTAACCATTCAAAACCACCTGACAACGGTTGAGCTGCTCATCTGGAGGGGCATATCAACTTTTGCAGCTGCTTGATGAAGTTTGCAAAATCTAAAATGATTATGAGAATAAAAATTAGACTATAACTATAAGCTAGAAGAAACTTAAATAAAGCATATAAAGTAAAGAGAAGAATAAATAGAGAAAGAGATTGTTAAACCTGGTATTGAAGTTTGAACGGAGAAGATGTAAATTGGATCTTCTGAAGAAGAAGCTACTACAATAACCTTTTAACATGTTCATCAATCAAAACGCGTTTGGATGAGCTGGAAGGTCAAAGGAAGAATAACAGTAGACAGAAAAACATGGTACAAAGAACAATGATCAGTGGCCAACACCAACTTGTTAACAAAGATCAAAAGCAATAATGAATACTAAATAATAAATAATAAACAAATGAATGAATAGTGGCCAACACCAAATTGAATTGGCATCGGTATATTTTTCTAATCTTATTTATGCCCTTTTGTGAATTTGATATTTCCTACTAATTTTTCTACAGAATTTTCTGCGAAGCCTTTTTTCTAAGTAAATAAAATAAATTTCCGCAGGAAATGTCATTTGTAAGAAATTTCGCAGGAAATGTAAATAATGAGCAAGTGTCAAATGCTTTGATACGCCCATTTTTTGTCTTCTTGAAAGTTGAATATGTTAAAATTTTAAATAAAGATGTGGTTTTTTTAGTATTTGGTTGAAAATGTTGGTTATATGGTTAAAAATTTCATGTCTTTAAATAGAAATTTATCATTGAATAATACTAGAGTTAAGAAACTCGTATAGAATAATCCGAGGGTTTAACATGAATTTATAACAAGGGAAGAATTCTCACACCACAAATAAATTTTTTAAGGTTGTGTTAGATTCAATCACATATTTTAAGATTATATTCAAATTTCTTTCAACATCAACATCAATTAGGTTATCTGTTATCAAATTTCTGCTATCGTATCACTCATCATTTATGTTCATATTTTAAATTTTGTTTAGAGTCTTATATCAGACAATATATGACTTGAACATATGTTTATAAGCGAAATAGTTTTTATTGGGTGATGTTCACTATATTCCATGTAGTGTTCCTTAAACCTATGAAAATTAAAAAAATGCCTTTTCATATAGTCTAACAATTAAAATTCGGGCACACCAATTATACATCAAATCTCTTTATCAGAAAGGCACCACATCCAAACAAAAAAAAGTGTTCAGATTACAATATTCGAACACACTGTCTAGATATTAAATATTGAAAAACGAATTCTGCATAACCTTGTGATAGGTTGCCACATAGACACATGGAAATCATTTCACTTATTAATTTATTTCACAAGTTAAGTGTATAAAAACCCCATCTTTGATGTAAATATCAACTGTGTTGGGATAACAGTTGATTTATGCATTTTCACCCAAGTTCAACTCATTTTGTAGGTATTTGATTAAGGCAAGAGTGTAGTAGGCAAAACGAAGAAGAAAGGCTTCAAAAGGCACGTTGAGCGAGCTCCAAACGAGAAATGCAAAAAGAAAATCAGAAAGTGGTGCTCCTAGCATGCTTGAAGCGAGCGAAAAAAGAGAAATCCAAAGAGTTTTACTTTTAGCATGCTTGAAACGAGAAAAGATGGAAAACTCTAGAAAGTTGTGCTTCAAGCATGCTTGAAGCGAAAGCCAAGAAGGGAAAGTTTCTAAGTCTTCAAAAGCCTGGCATGCTTAGCTAGGTTGTAATGAAAGCTTTGACAACCTTGAGCTCAAATGTAACCATCCTAATTCCAACCCTTATATCATAAGCAATAAACAATGAGCAACTGAGAGATCAAAAATGTCCTGATCACAATATGAATTCATAACTTGATCTTTTGTACCATATCCCAGTGCTTTGTGATATGTCTGTCTAGATGGCTAATGATCTTAACACACAAAAAATGTCCTAAGGGAGCCCTGAAGATGAAGATGAAACTTGAAGTATTAGAAAAAGTATGACCACCAAGATGTCTTTGTCATGAACCTTTAGCCTCACGATCTTCAATTAGTGGACAGGCTCAAATACCCATGAAAAGGAAGCCCCTAATTCTCCTTGAGATATTCACTGAGACTTTTGAGAAATCTGGAAGAAAAATGACCTTATATCCTGATGAACCTTGATAAGAAGATGCTCAAACCCTAGTTCCCTGACTGAGAGGATGAATACTATCTCCACTTAAAATTAATACACGGACACCACTGGTTAGTCATAATGAGCATGCACACATGATCCTATGACCTAATTCTTAGAAAATCATGGCCAAAGGCCAAATGATTTTACAAAGAGAAAGCTAAGAAAGGTAGTACAAATGTGGGGTATGATAGTTAGTCCCTGACGTCAAATATGTATTAAAAAAATATGAGTTCCTAACGTTGATGAGGTGACAATTGTTTTATTTATTTTTCTTGTGACACTAATTAATTACGTGGAATATCAACTAGAGGGTTATAAGAAGGAGGACTAAATCCAAAAATGAAATGATTTTGCAATTTCAATTTCTTCTTCTTCCTCCCCTCTAATTTGTATTCTTTTTCTTCCTCGACATCTTTATCCATAGCTATGTCTTTAGCTCAATTCGTAATTTTACTCCGTTTCATTTAATTATGTTGTTATTTCTAATGATGAGAAATGAGTTTGAAAGCTTCATCATCTAATAGAATTGGTGTTGGATTTTTGTTGTACAGTGGTAGTCTTGGTGTTGATAGAAGTTTGAGAAATCTTTTATAAGCAAAGAATAATAGCACGTGAGATACTTGTCATTCAAATAAGAAAACTGGACATCAAATAGAAAAGGGAAAACAAGAAATAAATAAGTAATAATTTTGGGTTTGAAAAAATTATGGTTTTGCATGAAGGTTGGGGATAAAGATATGAACACAAACCCATAATTCAATCACTATTTCGGTCGCTATCACTATATAGTTTAGCGACCAAATTAGTGACTGAATTTAAGAGTTGTGTTCATATCTTCATCCCAACCTTCATACAAACCCATGATTTTTGGCTTATATAGTCTTTTCATCACTGTAAGTTAGCGTATTTTTAGTTTTAGTCTCTTAATCTTTTTTTTTTGCTCTCTAATCTTGGGTTTCTGCTAATGCCATTTATTGGTTTTAGTCCATAATTCTGGATTTCTCTTTCTGTATTTTATTTTGAGTTTCTGACTTTGATTCACTTGATTTCATAATAAAATATTTTAAATCAATGGTGCAGCTCAAAAGCTCTTGACTAACATTAGATATTAAAGTATTTAACTAGTATGAAAACAAGGTTGATAAAGTCATGTATCTAATATTAGACAAACACTTATATGTGCATCTTATATCGTGAAACAAGCTCGTTGGGCGAGCATATTGGTGATAACTCTTTTTGCAGTTGTTTGTTGTTCTACAACTACTTATAAGACAATGCTTAAACACTTATGAGACAGTTGCATGTTAGAATGGAATCATATAAATTCTAATCTAACACAATTTTCATATATTAGAATTCTGGTACAACTATTGAACAAAAGATGATGAACGAGTGATAAAGAAAAAATCATTTTAACCAAAGGGGTGGATTCGAAGCCCGTATGCTGAATTTTTTTAGTGCACCCTTAATACTTCTTAGCCACCACATGAAATTATTTAAATGCCCCTAGTTTTCGGAGATGCATCTCCAGACGCACCAATTTCTGAATAAATGTGGAAATATTCCAGAGATGCATCTCCAAAACAATTTAAAACATTCATTACATCCTATTCAGAAGCCATTTACATGTGAATTGTATCGAAGATGCATCTCCGTGAATATTCTAGAGATACATCTTCGAAACGTATTAGAACAACTATTTCATGTTATATGTTGTTTATCTGTGTTCAAATGAATATTTAAATTATATTGTACAACAAAAAAACATAGACGTACATAATTCTAGATGGACCAAAAGTGCAATGCAAAATTAAAATAGCATTATATGTCAAAAATGTCGTACAAACGAGATCAATAATATAGTAAGACCATCAAAATAAATTACATACCATAGTACTACATATATATAATAAGAGACTACTACTATGTGCGTCTGACAACCTCTCATCTATATCCTCTGCCTCGTCTACCTACGCTGCCATCAATCCCTCTATCTTCCAGCAATGTCTCCGGTACAACAATGTCCCATATGCCTCTGTCATGATGACATCTAGGACTCGCCTGACATCAGACCCATCAGGGAAGATACCTGACTCAATGCCTGCATGTACAATATCCATTATGCGACGACACCTAAGCAAGACATCATCAATATGATCTAGCTGTGCATGCTCCAACTCTAGTATCTCCTGATGAGCTGGTCTCGGTGATCTTCTAGAGCAGCATGCACCATGTACTGATGGGACATCCTGGAGAACCATCTTATATACCCTTCAATGTAGCTCCAATCACTTTCAGCTATGGTAGCATGTGCCTCGTCCGGTACCAGATGACTTTCATAATTATCAAACATCTCCTCTGTCTGTCTACGTGTCAAGGCAGGAGGAGTAGAGACAACAGGGTGTCTATGAATGGTCTGAGTATAGACGAACTCTCGTATGATGCACTCAGGAAGATGAGGAGCAGTGAGATGCGTTATGTAGTCCAACCATCCAGAGTATTGAACTATCTCGTCAAATGGCCGCGTCTGGCGGTGATCAACATGGTTGTTGAAGTGCATGTCCTCAGCAACCAAACAGCTAATGATTCACATTCTAACAAGACATGAATTCATACACAAATTGCAAGAAAACTTCAACAAAATTGACAGCACAAGAGGTGAAAACCTCAAAACAGAAGCTGACAGTAAGCTTGCTTTTGTCAAATCAAAATATCAAGCAAGCATGCATAATGGATCCTACACACACACATATAGTTCTCACACCATGACAACTTGGTCTAACCAAACAACCTAACAAGCTAAACATGATTAAATGGTTTTGCAAAAGATCAAACATCATAATGGCTATACAGAAGCAGCAGCCAGTCTTTTTGGTCATTACTATGCCAATTCAATACATGCCTTAAATGAGAGTTACAACTCTAAGATAGTAAACACAACCAAATTCTAGCAGGAGAACCTAGTTCTAGCAGTAACAAATGCAAACATGTCAATCATCATTACACAACAATGTTCTTTGTTAAAAGGAGCAAAATTGATAATGATTGGAAGTAAAGGGTGGTAGCAGCATTATATGGCAGTTGTTCATGAATTAGA